GCACATTTTTGGTTTGCTCTAAAGGACCCGACTCACATTACCATCAATATTTCACCCAATTTCATCACACGAATGAATACCAGAATATCTGACGATACTTTGACTTCAATCTTGGAAACCTGAGCTCTTTTTTGTCATTCCCCTGTCTGCATTAAAACATATTATGTGACTGTTGACATATTGATATTTCTGTTGATATACAACATATTAAGTTCAAGCATTGACACAATGTTTCTTTTGACCATTTAAAAATTTTAGGAATTTAAAGTCAATTTAACTAATGACCAACGCATATTTAATTAGACACATTTCTCAATCCATAAATATTTATAAAGCACAACAAACCCACCCCACAAATGGAAAAGTGAGATTTTCCTGGGGGAAAAAAAAAATTAATCTATTCATTAATAATTGTTTGACCTAAAATTAAATGAAACAATTAGAGACTAAAAAGAGAGGACATTTGAATTTGAGAGAAGCAACATTTCAAGAAATTTAATAAAATCGCCACTGTTTATTTGTTGTTGTTTTTTGGCATTTTGGGGGCAATTTTTATCTATTGTATCTCTTTGTTTAAAACATATTAAAAAACTGAAATAATCTGCAGACAAAATAAAATAAATAAAAGTTTCTACATGTGGGTTGGCTCCTTGTCATCACAACTCTCTGCCAAAGTGTTTTTCATGCATCAGTGCTTTTCTGGCTCCATGCTCACCCCCATTACAGATTCAGCCTGCAGCAGGGGTCAGAGTTCACCGAAGGGTTAACAGGAAGAGGCCTATCTCTCTGACCCCTTAAGACATCCATGCCCACTAACTGAGAGCGGAGCAGGGAGGGTGTGCTGAAAATGGGATGGAAGGGTACATTGTAAATTGACTTTGCAGTACCACAGCCCATCACTCTCACCAAACCTTCAGGGCATCACCGCGGTCGACACATAATGACTCTGAGAATGTCTTAAATGCACTGACCTGGCATCATAAATGTATCAAAATTATGCACTCAGCTCCCATGCAATGCCCATCTCAAATGCCTGACAGACTTGTTACATTCCTTAACCATTTCTTGCTATCTGATCTCCTCATGACAATGCTCTGAATGCACTGTATCTATCTACTAGTTTTTATGCACACTGCTGCGTCTGATTAATATACCCATGTCTTCCTATGGCCTTAGGGGTGAGCTGAAGTCTCCCTTAATCTAACATTAAGGCCTTCATTGCCTTTCTTGCCTTGCCTCCGAAAACCCTCTTGAGGAGCACAAACGGAAAAACACAGCATATACCTCCTCCGTCAGGACCCAACAGGTCAGAAATTCCTGAAATAGTCTTCTGAGATGAACAATTGCACCAAATCCTTACAACCTAACTGCTGAACATGGTTAATGAAATGGAAGGGTGAAGGCTCATGAAACCATGTCATGTTTCACCCCAAAATCAAAAGACATTTTGCACAAGAATCCTATTATTAGAAGAGAATTAGGAATCATTTTGCATTGCGATCTCATTTCTATGAATCGCATTTTCCACAAAAATCTCATTGCTTGTAATGCATCTGGATGTGTTTTTTTTTATTTTTATTCCTATTATTCTTAATAGTAATTCTCATGTTTCCCATATTACAGTAATACAGTAAAAACTTGGTTTTCTTGGAAGACAAATATCAGTCTTATTTAGATTTTGGGGTGAATCAGATATCACAGACGTATTCCTGGGAGATTTTTTGAGATTCACCTGTAAAAAGTCAAAGAGCCAAGAGTCTCTGTCTTCCTAGCTGAGGGCCACATACATTTCAAGTCAGTCTCACTTTTAGTTTAACACATTATTTAATTGAATTTTTATGTTATTTTTTTTTTGTATTTATCTAACTATGGCTACTCCAAACTCATCACTAATTAAAATACTAAGTAAGGCCTCAAATTTGAAGCACAATCTGGGATGTCTTTTTCTATCAATTCTTCAATAGGTAGATCTTGTCTTTCATAAAGGCCGAGGTCAGGGATCTTGGGCCTAAAAAGGTTGGTGACCACTGCTCTAGGCTTTTGTTGGCTGTTTATATATTGATTATTCTATATAAACAAGCATTTTTAAGAATGTATTAAAAATATGTGTCTCTGTGTGAGTGTGTTTATGTGCACCATTCACATAATCTGTTTTATTAGTAGTAACAGTGGTAGTAGTAATGTAATAGAAATGATAAATGTATCTACCAAAGAGTTACAAATAAAACAAAATTACGGCTTATTTCTGCATTTCCAGCAAAATTATCTCCCCCCATCACTGCATGGTTTCGTCCCGTCCTACGTAGCCTAGAGTCACTGAGTGAGATCAGGGCTGCGTTCAGCCCCGAC